ACCCCCAATCACCAACTCCTGCTGAAATTGCCACAAAAAGTGGTGGAGAAAGATGGATGTGGAAAGACACAGAGGCACGAGGGTTCGGGAAGGGTATTGGGTAGAGAAGAGGCCTGAGAGTGAGCCGCTGTTCAACAATCGTGTGAACACTTCCTCTGATGTACTGGGCACTGTGCTGGGTAGTATAGGAGTTATAAACAAGAAATCAGACCGGGTGTGGTGGCTCACACCTGAAATCTCAGCACTTTAGGAGGCTGAGGCGGGTGGATCACTTGAGCTCAGGAGTTCAAGACCAGCTTGGGCAATAGTATAGTCAGACCTCGTCTCTACTAAAAAAACAAAACAATAACAACAAAATTAGCCGCACGAGAGAGAAACCATGTTTCAATGCACTACTGGACATCAACTATTACAGACTTCCCACCTGGCTTCCTGGAGGAGATGGCCTTTGGCTTTTCCACAGGACCTTGAAGATGTAGACAGATGGCAGGGAAGGTGTTCCAGGGAGAGAAGGGTAGGACCCAAGGTGTGGAAATGGAAAACACAGTCACCTTCCAGGATCAGTAAGTGATTCTACTTGGCAAGTGGTTCAGCTAGGTATGTGAGGGAGTAGCCACAGAAAGGCTAGAAAAGTGCCCAAACACGGAGGGCCACACAGGATGGCCATTTCCTGTGGAGAGAGGAAGCTAAGAGGGGTGCTTGGTGAGGAGGGGAAGCTGGGCTTTGGGGCTCCCTAGGAAGGTGCAGAACTGATGCAGGGCCCCCAAGACTGATATGGATGCCAGCCCCGGTCAGAGGCAGGTCTGTGGAGGGCAGAGGAGCCGTCCACGCCACCAGTTCTCTCTTCTCCTCTCCCCCACCCTAGATGGGATGCTCTATTCTGGTACCATGAACAACTTCCTGGGCAGTGAGCCCATCCTGATGCGCACACTGGGATCCCAGCCTGTCCTCAAGACCGACAACTTCCTCCGCTGGCTGCATCGTAAGGACCTGACCCCCGCTGGCCCCCTTTCCTGAGTCCCGGTGACCTTGCTAATTCACTCAACTCTCATTTGTGGAAGGTACAATGTGTCCATTACTGTTAGGCGCAGGGGGTATATGGCAGGGAAGAAGACAAAGCTCCGGTCCTCTTGAAGCTTTCGTCTTATGTAAACACATTAAAGAAGCACCAGTCATCCCCTCCCCACATCGCTACCCCTGGACAAGCTGTGGGACCCGAGGAAGCCTGTGTCCTGGCCTCCAGGGCCAACCCAAGGGTTTTCACTCAGGCAAACCCAGGGCATCCAGGGGCTCAGTCCCTAAGCCCATCTGCCCCTCCCCCGCAGCGGACGCCTCCTTCGTGGCAGCCATCCCTTCGACCCAGGTCGTCTACTTCTTCTTCGAGGAGACAGCCAGCGAGTTTGACTTCTTTGAGAGGCTCCACACATCCCGGGTGGCTCGAGTCTGCAAGGTCGGCGGGCGGGGCGAGTGGAGGGGCAGGGGCAGATAACTATAGAGAAGGGAAAATTACCCAATAGGATAGGATAAGGAGGCCGGGACTGGAGTGAGTGGAGTCACCCAAGATGAAGCAGGAGCGAGGGAAAGAGTATATAGCGAGAGGGAGGAGGGAGAGGGGAAGGGGACCAGAGGTGCTGGGGAGCGCGGGGTGGGGCACATGGGGCTGGGGGTGCGGGGAGGACACACGGGGTTGGCGGGACGGGGATACGCGTGGCTGGGGGTGCCCCCTCATTCTCCCTGTACCCCCAGAATGACGTGGGCGGCGAAAAACTGCTGCAGAGGAAGTGGACCACCTTCCTGAAGGCCCAGTTGCTCTGCACCAAGCCGGGGCAGCTGCCCTTCAACGTCATACGCCACGCAGTTCTGCTGCCCGCCGATTCTCCCACAGCTCCCCATATCTACGCAGTCTTCACCTCCCAGTGGTGAGCAGCAGGGCCGGACCGTGGGGACTGGACACGGGACTTGACTCCAGTGAGGCCCCGGCTCGTGGGCGGAGGCAGGAATTGACATGAGCCAGCACCTATTCAGCACTTTCACAGAGGAAGGCATTAAATCGTCACCACCTCTGAGGAATTTGACTCGTGCCCTTTTTGTAGATGGGAAAAATAAGGCTCAGAGAGGTTCTAACTAGTTTATATTCTGCCTAGTTCCAAAAGGGATAGGAAGCATTTTGCAAAAGGCAAATATTAAAATCAATAAAACAGATAAAGAAATGGGAATAAAAGGAGAGTATGAGAAGCCAGGGATAAGGCCAACACACTACAAATGCTTGTCATAAGATGTAGTATAGTCCCTGGATGCCAGCCACAAATTTAGCTCTGCACTTCCTAATGGCCAGGGCAAACAGGGAAACACCATGGGTATCATAAGATAAAGTCGGCCGGGTGCGGTGACTCATGCCTATAATCCCAGCACTTTGGGAGGCCGAGGCGGGCAGATCATGAGGTCGAGAGATCAAGACCATCCTGGCCAACATGGTGAAACCTCATCTCTACTAAAAATACAAAAATTAGATGGGTGTAGTGGCGCGTGCCTGTAGTCCCAGCTACTCATGACCCTGGGGCAGGAGAATCCCATGAACCCGGGAGGCGGAGGTTGCAGTGAGCTGAGATCACACCACTGCACTCCAGCCTGGCAACACAGCAAGACTCCATCTCAGAAAATATAAATAAAAATAAAGTCATTGCTTGAAGGTTGAGAAAGGTTAACCGATTTGTCCAAGGTCCCTGAGCCATGGTCTGGCCCCACAGTGTTTAGGTACCTGCTGACAATGTGTCAGGTACCAAAGGTATTTGGGGTAAGTGGGGTCTGGTATCCACAGCATCCAGAACTGAGAGCCTGGTGTATACAATAGTCAGCTTCAAGAGAGCAAGAGAAACAGACCTCCTGTCTCCACAGACCAGGGCTGAAGGAATAAAAACAGTCTGGTAGTCAGGCACTGGTCGGTTCTCTGAGGACCACGGATCCAAGAGACTGAAAGGAAGAGGGCTTTGTGTGGAGCCAGGCTAGAGCTGGTTACACTGTCCCTCCAATGGGTGCAGCCCAGTCTAGGCAGGACAGGCAGGGGCCACCCCAGGGCCTGAGCCCCAATTAATTCTCATTAAGGATAATCAGACTTCATATCCCAAGATGGGCCTAGAGCCAGGCTCTGGGCCAGAGTCAGGGAATTCCATGGGGCTTCCTTGGCCCTTATCAACACAGTGAGGGGAAGGAGTGGTAGCTGGAGGCTGGCCCAGCTCTCCACACTCTTGCCTCCTGGGCTTTATCACTGAGGGTGGGCCAGGGCTGGAGAGAGAGCTGCCTGGTATGACAGAGACCACAGACAATGTTCCCTCTGGTTGTCTCCAGGCAGATTGGCGGGACCAGGAGCTCTGCGGTTTGTGCCTTCTCTCTCTTGGACATTGAACGCGTCTTTAAGGGGAAATACAAAGAGTTGAACAAAGAAACTTCACGCTGGACTACTTATAGGGGCCCTGAGACCAACCCCCGGCCGGGCAGTGTGAGTACTACCTCCCACACTAATCACAGTCTACACACACATGATGTGCATGGAAAAGCACCTATCATGGCATAGTAAAGGCCCAATAAATGTTAGTGCTCTCCACCCCACCAATCTTGTCTGCTCAGACATACACCTGGTACAGCTGCCTACATTCCACATGTGCCTAGCACCCTCTTATACACAGAGGAGTTGCCAGAGCCATCTCCCTTCACCAAGGCTAACTGTACACCAAATATCTGGGTATATCACTATGGAAACAAGGGAACATGGGCTGTGTGCCAAGGACTGTCTCGGGCATTGCCACCTGCCTTTATTATTTAACTTTATAAAAAAATCAGAGACCAGGCGGGGTGTGGTGACTCATGCCTATAATCCCAGCAATTTGGGAGGCTGAGGCAGGTGGATCACTTGAGGTCAGGAGTTCAAGACCAGCCTGGCCAATGTGGTGAAACCTCATCTCTACTAAAAATACAAAAATTAGCCAGGCATGGTGGTGCATGACTGTAATTTCAGCTATTGGGAGGCTGAGGTAGGAGAATCGCTTGAACCTGGGAGGTGGAGGTTGCAGTGAGCCAAGATTGCACCACTGCACTCCAGCCTGGGTGATAGAGTGAGACTCAGTCTCAAAAAAAAAAAAAAAAAAATCAGAGGCCGGGCATGGTGGCTTATGCCTGTAATCCCAGCCATTTGGGAGACTGAGACGAGAGGTTCACTTGAGGCTAGGAGTTTGAGACCAGCCTGGTCAACATTGTAAGACTCTGTCTCTACCAAAAAAAATTAGCTGGGCATGGTGGCATGTGCCTGTAGTCAGCTACTCAAGAGGCTGAGGTAGGAGGATCACTTGAGCCTGGGAGTTCAAGGCTCCAGTGAGCTGTGATCATGAGAATGTACTCCAGCCTGGATGACCAGAGTGAGATGCTGTCTCTAAAAAAGTTTTTAAATGAAAAAAAGAAAAAAAAAATCACAGCCTGGGCAATATTGGGGGGAACCCATTTCTACAAAAGAGAAAAAAATCAGAGCTATTATATGTACGTTATTTGAAGAATCAGATCTAAAATCAAATAGATCTATAGAGTTAACTATAAAAAGCAGTCCTATTTCCCATCCTCCACCTCGCCCCAAACATTTTCAACTCTTTTAGCTGATTCTTTTTAAATTTATCTCAAAATCTCTAAATAGCATGCTTTTATTGCTACTTCTTGATGTTTCAGTTTCTGACAGTATCTGTTGAATTTCCATTGTAAAAGGTGAGAATTTAACTATGTTCCCCAACCCCCATCTCCACCCAGTGGTGTGCTAGAGCTGGCTTGCAGCAGCTAGCAAGAACTGTTTTTGCACATCTTTTTCCAAATTTGTGTTCAGTGATATTACATTGGTAGCTTGAAATTAGCCATGGCGGAAGTATACATCACAGAAATCAGCAAACAATGCAAATCGGCTTTCTAACCCTCTCTCAACAAAACTGACTTGGACCAACATACAGTAACTGCATCCACCCCCAATCTCCTAATGTAGTTTTCTGGTAATTTTGGTTAGATCACTATTTATATTATGACTCTTCTTATTCACAGCCGAGCCAGGTAGTAAGCCATGATTACTTTTCCTTTTTGCATAGTTTTGTTTTCCCTGGGGCTAGTAATTATCTTGACTTTTCTGCTTGCTTTGTTTTCTAAGCTCTTTATTTTTATTATTTTTTTTGAAACAGTGTCTCACTCTGTCACCCAAGCTTGAGTGCAATGGCGCGATCTCGGCTCACTGCAACCTCTGCCTCCTGGGTTCAGGTGATTCTCCGGCCTTAGCCTCCCGAGTAGCTGGGATTACAGGTGTTCGCCACCTCACCCAGCTAATTTTTGTAATTTTAGTGGAGATGGGGTTTCACCATGTTGGCCAGACTGGTCTCTAACTCCTGACCTCAGGTGATCCTCCTACCTCAACCTCCCAAAGTGCTAGGATTACAGGCATGAGGCACTGTGCCTGGTCGAAGCTCTTATCTTTAATTCAACCCCAAGCTCTTCCTAAATTATCTGAATCTCTTCTGAAGACAGACCTATTAGCTTTTCTAACAGTTTTGTCTTCCTGGAGAGCCTTCCTGTCTGCTCCAGTCTGGACTAGTGCCCTCTACTCCCGGAGCACAGATGCCATCCTGGAATCCCCCTTCCTCATCAGCCTGGGGATTCCCCTTTGCCTCTTTCCTGTGACACATCTCGTGTTTCTTGCGTCCTATGGCTTCCTCTTTTTTTTTTTTTTTAATTTTTAACTGTCTCATTTTGGTGGAGGTTATCCTTTGTAGATTCCTGGAAAAGGATACATGGCAGGTAAAACATTTTAAGATCTTGAGTGTCTGAAAATGTATTCTACTTTCCTATTTGATAATTCGGCTAGGTTTACGTCATTCTAGAGTAGAAACACATTTCCTTCAAACTTTGAAGGCCTTGCTTTATTATTTTCTAGCTTCCAGTGGTGCTGTTGAGAAGTCCAAAGTTATTCTGATCCCTAGCACTCTGAATGTAACCTCGTTTTATTTCACTGAAATCTTTTTTTTTTTTTTTAAATACTGATACTCATGGAGCAGGGCTACCGTATAGGCAGCGTGCCTCACTGCCCTCACTGCCCTCCCTGCCCTCACTGGAATCTTGTAGTGCTTTTTCTTTGTCCTGGTGTTCTGAAATTTCATGGTATTGTGCTTTGATGGAACACTACTCGTTTATTGTGCTGGGTGCTCACTGGGCCACTTCAGCCTGGAAATTAGTACTCTTAGTTCTTTCAGTTCTGAGTTTTCTTGAACTATATCTTCCTATCTTCTTCTTTTTTTTTTTTTAGATGGAGTCTCACTGTCATCCAGGCTGGAGTGCAGTGGTGCGATCTTGTCTCACTGCAACCTCCACCTCCTGGGTTCAAGTGATTCTCCTACCTCAGCCTCCTGAGTAGCTGGGACTACAGTTTCACGCCACCATGTCCGACTAATTTATTTATTTATTTATTTTGAGATGGAGTCTTGCTGTGCCCCCAGGCTTCAGTGTAGTGGCTCTATCTTGGCTCGGTACAACCTCTGCCTCCCGGGTTCAAGCGCTTCTCCTGCCTCAGCCTCCCGAGTAGCTGGGACTACAGGTGCCCTCTACCATGCCCAGTTAATTTTTGTATTTTTAGTAGAGACAGGTTGCCCAGGCTGGTCTCGAACTCCTGACCTCAGGTGATTAGCCTGCCTTGGCTTCCCAAAGTGCCGGGATTACAGGCGTAAACCACAGTGCGCGGCCTTTTTTTGGTATTTTTAGTAGAAACTGGGTTTCACCATGTTGCCCAGGCTGGTCTTGAACTCCTGAGCTCAAGCAATACACCCACTTTGGCCTCCTAAAGTGCTGGGATTCCAGGCGTGACCCACTGTGCCCGGCCCTATCTTCTTTTCATTCAACAAATATTTTTTGAGGACACATGCGACTATTCTGGGCAGGGAATATAGAAGTGAGCAAAACACATGAAAGTCCTGGCTGGGCGCGGTGGCTCAAGCCTGTAATCCCAGCACTTTGGGAGGCCGAGACGGGCGGATCACAAGGTCAGGAGATCGAGACCATCCTGGCTAACACGGTGAAACTCCGTCTGTACTAAAAAAATACAAAAAACTAGCCGGGCAAGGTGGTGGGCGCCTGTAGTCCCAGCTACTCGGGAGGCTGAGGCAGGACAATGGCGTAAACCCAGGAGGCGGAGCTTGCAGTGAGCTGAGATCCGGCCACTGCACTCCAGCCTGGGCGACAGAGCGAGACTCCGTCTCAACAACCAAAAAAAAAAAAAAAAAAAGAAAGTCCCTTCCCTCATGGGGCTTACATTCCAATGGAGTGTTTTCTCACTTTTTTCTGGACCTCCTAGACTAGTCTTCTCACTTTTTTTAAGCTTTCCTACTGTCCAGGTCTTTGGTTGTGTTCTATTTTTCTGGAAGAGTGTCTCAACTTTGTCTTCCAATCTTTCTGTCAGGTTTTTCATTTCTGTGTTCAGAGACAGTGAAAGAAAAAAGAAAGAAGTCCAGGTGCAGTGGCTCACACCTGTAATCTCAGCACTTTGGGAGGCTGAGACAGGTGGATCACCTGAGGTGAGGAGTTCAAGACCAGCCTGACCAACACGGTGAAACTCCGTCTCTACTAAAAATACAAAAATTAGCCAGGCATGGTGGTGCACACCTATAGTCCCAGCTACTCAGGAGGCTGAGGCAGAAGAATTGCTTGAACCAAGGAGGCCAAGGTTGCAGTGAGCTGAGATTGTGCCACTGCACTCCATCCTGGGTGACAGAACGAGACTTCATTGAAAGAAAAGAAAAGAAAGAAAAGAAAAGAAAAGAGAAGAGAAGAGAAGAGAAAAGAAAAAAGAAAAGAAATAAAAAAAGAAGAAGAAAGAAGATTTTTCGTTTCTGCCAAACAGTCTCGACCTCCTGGGCTCAAGTGATCCTCCTACCTCAGCCTCCTGAGTGACTGGAACTACAAGCACCCACCACCACACCCAGTTATGTGGAGGCAGGGTCTCAAACTCATGGGTTCAAGCAATCCTCCCACCTTGGCCTTTCAAAGTGTTGGGATTACAGGTGTGAGCCACCATGCCTCACCTGGGATTGTATAGATTAAAAGAAATTTAAGACCAGGTACAGTGGCTCAAGCCTGCAATCCCAACAGTTTGGGAGGCTGAGGTGGGAGGATTGTTTGAGCCCAGGAGTTTGAGAGCAGCCTGGGCAATATAGCGAGACCCCCATCTCTACAAAATATTTAAAAATTAGCTGTGTGTTGTGCCATGCGCCTGTAGTCCTAGCTACTTGGAAATGTGAGGTAGGAGGATCACTTGAGCCTGGGAGGTTGAGGCTGTACCCCACTGTACTCCAGCCTGGGCAACAGAGTGAGACCGTGTCTCAAAAAAAAAAGAGAAAAGAAAAAAATTTACATAATCCCTTCCCATCTTCCATTTTTCTCATGCATTTTTTTGTTTGTCAGAGTCTTCCACAGCCTGGATCTTGATGACTGCATCTCTGTAGTGTAGTTTAAGTATTTCCTATAAATTGTTCAGTAGTTGGATCTAGAGACTTACTCAGATTCAGGTTTGGTTTGGAGGAGGGGCAAGATTACTTCATCATGGTTGTGTGCTCTTTTCTCTGGATGCCTGTAATGCCTGGTGGCCCTCTTTGTGTGAAGGAAAGACTCTTCTTTGGCAGCATTTGCTTCCTGTTTCATGGGTGCACTATTTTCACGTATCTCTCTTAGGATAGTAATGATGGATTTCTGTGAAGTTTTCTTCTTTCTGATTCATTTCTATTTCCTCTTAGGTTTTTTTTGTTTGTTTGTTTTTGTTTTTTTGGTTTTTTTTGAGATGAAGTCTCACTCTGTTGCCTAGGCTGGAGTGCAATGGCGCGATCTCGGCTCAGTGCAATCTCTGACTCCTGGCTTCAGGCGATTCTTCTGCCTCAGACTCCCGAGTAGCTGGGATTACAGCCACACACCACCATACATAGCTAATTTTTGAATTTTTAGTAGAGATGAGATTTCACCATGTTGGTCAGGCTGATCTTGAACTCCTGACCTCAGGTGATCCGCCCACCTCAGCCTCCCAAAGTGCTGGGATTACAGGCATGAGCCACCGTGCCCAGCATTTTTTTTCTTTCTTTCTTTTTTTTTTTGTTAGCCAGGATGGTCTTGATCTCCTGGACCTCGGTGATCGCCGCGTCTCGCGCTCCGCAAAGTGGCTGGGATTACAGGCTGTTGAGCCACCGCGCCCGGCCCCCAGCCTGTTTCTTTTTTTTTTTTTTTTTTTTTTTTTTGAGAACGGAGTCTCGCTCTGTCGCCCGGGCTGGAGTGCAGTGGGCCGGATCTCGGCTCACTGCAAGCTCCGGCCTCCCGGGTTACGCAGCATTCTCCTGCCTCAGCCTCACACAAGTAACTGGGACTAACG